CCAAGTGTCAGTCAATGACCAGTTGCAATCAGTTCTGTTTTATCCTACAAGCCCAGGGCATCTTCATGGATGATACCATTTTAAAAAGCCAGTGGGCAATAAGACCTCTCCCCAAGGACGGGGCAGTCTGATTAGACTAAAGCATCCAACCTTGAATTGCAAAGCCTAGCATGGTAGCTCATTCCAGTACTTGAGAGGCAGCAGAATCAGAAATTCAAAATCAGCCTTGGCCACACAGCCCAGTGTGGTTTCAGGGAACTGAACTCAGGTCCTCCATAAGAGTAGTGTGTGCTCCTAACCCCTGAGCCATCTATCCAGCCCTTAACTAAGTTTGTGGCTGCCTTCTTGTCCTGCAGAGCTCTGTGTAAGGTTGTGCTTTGCTTCCTTGAAGCCAGACTTATCGCTTTGAAATGCAGTTCACCGCTTTACACCGAGATATCTTTCCCATTTCGTACGTCATCGGGGTTATGCCAATCAGTCAACTTGTTTTCTGTTTTGTCGTTTTGTTTTTGTTAAATTTGAGAGCAACATTCTCATGCAGGTTTCCTCTTCCACCAGGAAAGCCAGATTCCATGAGTTTTGGATGGAATTAATAGAAACAAATCAATCATGGCTATTTCAACAGTGCCTTGATCAGCAACAGATGTTTGTCATAATAGTTAAGTTGGCACAGCAATGGGAGATGAAATGCCCATTCCTTACCACTGCCAAGAGTGCTAACAAGGCCGTCTCATCAACAGAACTGCCAGCTCAGGGGGGCAGTGTAGCAGGCCCAGGATTCTTGCTAATTAGAAATTCCTTATATACTTTTCATACCCATCCTGTGTAGGGAACCAGACCAACCAAACACTTTCTCAGAGGTCCTGATAAAAGAACAAAGAGGACTTTAGTTCTGTATTCTTGTCCAGAAACACAATTAGCACGGCTGACCTAAAAGCTAGAAGAGTCAAGTTTGTGACTTCTGGGGACCCAACTCTTCCCCTTGGGCTGCAGTTATCCATCGTAAGGAAGCTGTGTGAGATATCCTGTGCTCTTTTTACCAACATTGTTTGATTTAGATCTCTACTTCCTTGGCCACTTCCACTCTGCTAATAGTATATTGGATGCTATACTCCTCAATAAATTTGCTTAGCCTAAGTTACCAGCTTATGAAAGACTTCCTGGTCCCACTTATTGCTTTTGTCTTTTTTATTTCTCATCCCTGGTTCTCTCACTTAACACCTTGCCAACCCTTACTCCTGTGGGTTTGGATCAATCCTGGCCATATAGCCTTGCTGTGCAGGAGGCACAGTACCCTCAGCCTAAAGTACAAAAAGGGGCCATGAGGAATCCCTCTGTGAAGTAATCCAAAAAATACCTAACAGCCAGTAGTCCTAGTTACAACAATGTGGAAGGGCTCATAGGGAGGCATGTCCTTCTCTTTACAAAGGACACCAAAGTTTCAATTTGTTTAAACTGAATGAACCAGGATAGAAGTAGAGGGACCCAAAATGTCTAAGTTATGTAGGATGTACCCACTGAGATCTACTGTTAAGAACCTAGATTTTTCTGATTTTCACTGATAAGAAAGAAAGAGGGATGAGGAGGAAGGGGAAGAGGAGGGGGAAGAGGAGGGAGGAGGAAAGTGACCACACCCAGGCAAGTGCTTTCCCACTTGACCATCACACTCTTTAACCGCAAGTAGTGACTTGGACTGAAGTTTTAGCAGAATGGACAAGACCACTCCATCCAAAGACGATTCAGTCAGTCACTAGTAAACTCTAGAGTTCATAGAGGTACATTTTATAACTGAACTGGACAAAAGTTTTAAAAAACTAAATATTTGTTATGATCTGTGTCCTTTAAATTTACAGTCTTGTACAAGGTATCTAGGTGTCTAAAACAGTGAATCTCAGTGCTTTGCAACTTCCAAAGCTTTTAGCATTGCTTGTACTATTGTTAATAGTAATGCATACCCCAGTCATATAAAAAAAAAACTTCTATGGGTGGGTATCAATTTATTACATCATTAGAGTTCAATTTTCCTTTACATCTTCTTAAACATTTTGAAAGATTCACGGGTTCATCTGCAATGTCAATTTGAAAGAATCTAAATTCACCTGTGAGTCAAAATATCTGGCTATGTCTAAGAAGGAATTTCTATATTAGGGTTACTGAGGCAAGAAGATCCACCTGAGTGTGAGCAGCACCATCTCATCAGCTGGGATCCAGGACGGAATAAAATGGAGACAGTGAGCTGAGGAACAGCATCCTTCTCTTTCTGCTTCCTGACTGTGGATACCATGTGACCACCTGGCTCATGTCCCTGCCACCATGCCTTCCCCACTGCGACACACTAACCTCAAAGAGTGAGCTAAGATCAACCCTTTCTTCTTTAAGTCACAATTGTCAGTCACTTTGTCAAAAGCAACAAATGAAGTAACTAAGGTGGTATCCAAATCTTTTTCAAGCCACTTAACCAGACTGCCTATCACTCCAAATGCTACCCACTGAGTAACTAACTGCATATGAGGATGCCAGTGTACAAGGCAAAGCAGTGTTATCTAGTGTTATTGGGGAAGAAAGGTCCACTCCAGTTCCATCCTGCTTAAAAGATACAATGCTCATGATATCTCTCTAATTGATTCAGTAAATCACTAATAAATGTGAGAAAGTTCTAAAAATCGATCACGATTGCCATGTAGTCAGAAATCTGATGCCTACTTAGAACATTGAAAATGGAATTCCTGAGTGCCACAAACTGTGTTTGTAGAGATGGAAAAAGATAATCCTCCCGTCACAGTCTCCAAGTAGAAGGTCAGCCAGTCTGATAACCATGGCACAGAGTATATGATATGGAGACCCATGGTAACTACTTGAAAGACACCAGAGGGAAAGTGTTATCTTTAATATGGCTATGTTTCTTTAACAAGTAGGAAAGGGTAGATATGAGGTAGGAAGAAACTTCTTTTTTTTTTTTTTTTTGAACCTAAGCAAAAACTCTGCAGTTGGGTCCTTTATTTCTTTTATACACTAGGCCATGAATTCGTATGGAATGGGCTCCAGCAGCTCGGGCTCTTTCCCATTAGTCCTCACAAAGTGTGCTTCTCTGGGTGGTGCAGGCTGGCACTTCAGCTGAACCCAGGTGCCCTTCTCTTTGGCTTCCTTTTTCTTCTGATCGTTCTCCTTCACCCGCTTCAGGAAGTGTCTCTGCTCTTCGAGTGTTTAATGTGCTCAATCCGCACATTGGTCCTCTTGGCCAGAATCTTGCCCTTAACTTGCTTGTTTACAATGATGCCCACGGCATGCTGGGTGACATTGTAGACTCTTCCGGTTTTGCCGTGGTAACACTTATGGGGCATTCCTTTTTGAACAGCATCCATTCCCTTGATGTCTACAATATCACCCTTCTTATAGATTCGCATGTATGTGGCCAAAGGAACAACTCCATGTTTCCTAAAAGGCCTAAAGAACATATACCGAGTGCCTCTCCTCTTTCCCTTTGTGTTCGTCATTTTGGTGAGTTAACTGGAAGATGGCTGCCGAGGCTGAAAGGGAAGAAACTTCTAGAACTGCCATCTAGGTTAAGTGTGCCATGTGCTGATCCCTATTTTTGGTTAGAAAAACTGGAGAATGGGCTGTCTCCATTTACCAAGGCCTGAAAAGTCACATGTTCTTAGAAACATGGTGATATCCCAGAAGCTCATTGTCTTTTTTCTCAGTTGGGAGAGAGAGAGAGAGAGAGAGAGAGAGAGAGAGAGAGAGAGAGAGAGAAAGAGAGAGAGAGACAGAAGTCCCCATATGCCCATGTGATCTGGCCGCTGAGTGATGTCACCACAGAGAATCATTGCCATTTCAGTCAAGATGGGACTAAAGGAAATCTGTGAAGAGTCGTGGCTGAAAGCTGTTCAGTAGGAGGTCAACAAAAATCAGAAAGCTAGAACAGATGAGAGAAGGTGAGCCTCAACCACCATCACAGTGTATTTTATACTTTTGGCACAAGACTAGCAAATCCACTTCAGAATTGATGTAGATACCAAAATATTTTTCCTAATTGGCTGACAGTAGAAGACAGAGGCTGACAAGGTTTATTAAAGCATTTCGTAATTACCAGATTCTGCCTGCCAACTGAGGAGGGATTTCAAAGCATTTCATAATTGCGAGATTTCACCTGCCAACTGAGGGATTTTTTTTTTAAAAAAAAAAACAGCTTAATCTATTTTCTTTCTTTGATTCTGGTTGTAACAATTGTGTTATATTTAAAAGAGATTGTCATTAATTTAGTGGTGATAATTAATTTTTTTCAAAAACAGTGTACTTTCGGGTCTTGAATATCCAAAACAAAGAGTCATAATATTAGTATATGGAGGGCTGGGAGAGTTGGCTCAGTGGTTAAGAGGCGCTTGCTGCTCTTCCAGAGGACCAAGGTTTGAATCTCAGTACCCACTTGGTAGCTCACAACAACCTTCAATCCAATTCTGGGAGATCAATGTCCTTTTCTGATCTCCATGGGTACCAGGCACGCATGTGGTGCACATAAAGTCAGTTGTTACTTTTTTAAAAAAAATTAACACGCTTCCAAAGCAGTCATCAGCTTCAAACCAGGTGTTCTTAGACTATGCCATGTCCCCAGAAGGTAATAGCTTTATTTCACATGAACTCTTTAGTTTCTCATTCTCTCTGCTCCCACAACAGAGTGGATATATTCCCTGCCTTCCTGTGAGCTTCTATCTGGAAACATCAGATATTCAGCCCCCAGGCAGTCATTGTTTTTTTAATCTTTTTTATTATGCACACATGCTGAAGAATGAATGGACTTAAAATATTAATATCTGGGGCCAATTGCTGTTTCTAAAGTCAAAGCAAAAGAAAAGCCATTAGTCACTTACCTCTTGAAAATATTTGGGGAGATCTTCTCTTTTTATCGTTTTTCCTTCCTCTGGTTGTGTTTACAATGGATCACTCTTGAATAGTGTCTGTGAAATAATAGTTATGCAAATACTACCATAAAAGGCAAATGGGTGCTCACAGCAGCAGCGCATGTGCCAAAATGGGAAATAGACAGAGGAGATTAGCATGGCCCCTGTGCAGGGATGACATGCACATTCACAAGCAATCTATCTTTTCATAACTGGACCAAGGACTGAGCCTAACACATGGAGTGTTTAGGAATCATGGAATATCATGGAAAGGGAGGAATGATGCAAGAGCTAACGTAAGAAATGATGCAAAGGGATAATGCAAGGAAAAATGGGGAGGTCAAGGACGTCTTCTGGAAACCACAGGGTTGTTGCATTCATAAACACATTGCATAAACCTACACGTGATCAGGCTTATCAACATTTCATCATAGATAGGGGAGTGGACTATAAAGTATTGTTGACAGCCAATGACTATTAGAGGGTGGGGTTTCCTTCAGTAGCTCTTGATATGTCACACCTGATTGAACAAAGAACCTCCCATCCATACTTGAGCAAGAAACTGTAACTAAACTCCCTCTGTCCCACACAGAAAGAAGACATGCACACAGGACAGGGGAGTCATTGAGAAGAAGAGAACAGGTTTAGTAAGAGGAGTGGGTGGGAGCAAATCAGAGGTAAAAACGACTACAATTCTTTAAGCAAAAGTAACTGTCAAATAGAAAAACCCTGTTAAAATGAGAACCGATGATGCTGAAAAGAAGTTTTGACGAAGTGCGGAGGCAAACGTCTCCCTTACAGCAAGGAATAGTTTCTGCTCTCTATTCAAGTCTCTGTGTTGCCTGGAAGGGAGGGGATCAGCTGTCAAGGCGGTCTTCATGAATACATAGTATCAGACACCAAGCCTGGGCGTGTGGCTTGCTTCTCTTTGCTGTATGAAGACTAATAGGGAAGGTTCTGGGTGTGCTTTGTGTCTGCCCCTAAGCAGTACACCTCAGTAAGGATCTGAATTGTGGCTGCCCTATTCCGGGTTGTCTTCTCCCACATCTAAACCTTGGTACTTATACCATGAATGGGCTGGCTGAGGAAACTTACAGAGAAAATTCTTTTGTTTCTAGTTTCTTTCACCTCATAGAAGTCTATTCTTGGTTCATATAAAATCTATTCTTGACTGATACAAGTGTATTCTTTGCTCATACAAGTGCGTATTCTTGGTTTATACAAGCCTATGCTAGTTATACAAGTCTATTCTTGGCTTATACAAGGTCAATAAGAATCATCAAGATGTCTGCTGTTTCTCTACTAAGATTTCTGTTTCGTTCCCATGTAGTGACTGTGGAATACTCATTGATGGCATCTGACTCAGCAAAACCGTGGACAACTCCTAATTGGATGAGCAGTTAACTGATGCCACTTCCTGTCTATATTTCGACCATCTTTAGAACTTTCACTTTTGCTCTTTTTTAGAGTTCCCTGTTTTCTTCTGATCCTTTTCTTCCCATAAAAGTCTGTGTCTGGGCTCCTTTTCTTTGCACAAACCAAGGAATCTAAATAATGCCAAAGTCACCAACAAAATAAACTCTACATCCAAATATGATGATGGCATCTCATATGCTCTTGTACATTTTGGCAGTTTTCCCCAAGTTTCCGTCTTTGATAGTGTTGTTTTCCCAGGCTGAAGGACAATGATGATCCCTGTTTTCTCTGAAGTAGATACTTGATCCCAAACAACCTGGCTTGGATAGTTACTGTTCTAGGTAGATGGGTTAGGGACTTATTTCTCCCAAACCTCATATATCCAGAAACAAAAACCCTCAGTGAGTGCCAGAACTTTCTTCATATCTCATTTGCTAAATGGGTCCTAAAGCTGTCACTTAACTAATGGAAAAGAAATCATCACAGCAAGTTCAAAGCTGAGGACAGAGGCAGGATGGGAGGGTTCCTTTGCTGTGATAAAATGTGTGATGCCTGGAATAAACATCAGGGTTCAGTGAGCAAGTGACAGGTGAGATTGAGAAGAATATGAGTGAGTAAAGGTTCTCACACACTAACCAAGGTTAGGAAACAGAGTGCGTCAGATAGATGTCACAGAAACTGTTCCATGCCAGATTTTCCCCTCACTGCTCCTCCTTATCCTCTCCTCCTCACAGCCAGTGTGTTACCACAAGAAGTCCCAGGCCTGGAAAAATATCAGGGTATTGTGTTTGAGTTGGAACTAGCCATGGTTCTTGGCAGGGTTTCCAACTCAAGAAAAACTATTCTCCATCTATGTGCAACTCTAAAGGTATCTCTCCAGAACAGTGCTAAAAATATATGTATTTACCCAGATCCCTCTGGATATTTTCCTGAATGAAGTGATTTCTTTCTGGAACCTTCCACCATGAAGTGGATAATGAGACTAAAGCTATAGATTTTCTTCTCTGCTTCATTTTTCCCTGCCTTTTTTCCCTTCTTTGTTCTTCATTTTGGATACCTTGTTTTGCTGTGCATTCAAGCTTACTAACCTTTAATGGTGTAATTTAAATCCTGTGTCGAAGCTGAACCAGTATCATTTTCATCATCTATTGTATTGATCTTTAATACTATGCACCATATCTTGTAAAATATCTGGACCTGGCAATCCTGCCATCTTTACCTCTTAAATACACACAGATTAATATTATTTCAATGCCTTTTCTCACTGATTCTATTATCTGAGACATTCTTGACAACCCCATTGTGAAATTTACATTGATTTTTATCCTCATTGCATGTGGTATGTTTGTCACAAAAGCACGTGTTAACTCCATAAATTTGTATGAATATTATATTGGCTAGAAGAAAAATACAATTGAAAAACTACTTTGTCAAGCATGGAATGTGAGAGTTTTTTTTTTTCTTTTTTGAGCCTTCCAACACACACATCTTAAGTTTTGTTCGTAAAGACTCAAGCAGTGACCATACGCTAGTGGCCTCATGAATAACACATGTTTGCTTTTTAAAATTATTATTAAACACAATTTTTGATCCGTTCAATACTTGCACACAAAACTCCTTCCACAATGAGGACCTTTGAGGACATTTTGTGCATGAGCTTACTCTCTGTTTCAATATGGTATCCTGAGAACTGAAGTTTCTCCACTCTGGTTGGTGGACACACAGCCACCTCTAACTGTGGAGGATTTCTCATTTTGGGGGTTATCCTTACAATTTCAGATGGTAATTTCAGCATTCAGCTACAGGCTGGGAGAAGATCCTGTGTGCATCTCCTAAATTACTTTTCCTGTGAACAGATGCCTTTTCTGTACACCGCCTCATGAGCATTCAATACCCAGTTCTCCAAAGATTTCTATCTGTGGCTTCTCAACTCTGGAAGTGGCTATGTTCTGCTTAGATTTTTTTTTCTTCCTGGGCTGTGCTCTGGAGTGTTCCCTAGGAAGCAAACCAAAGGCAACTGATCTAAGAAGCACTGATTAATTTTTCCCCTATTTTAGAGACTGATCTCCTGCACTGTTTAATTTCGAAGTTGAAAAAACATTGTTTTATATGTTTAGCTCATTTTAAGTCCTTTCACGTGGGAGCCTGTTGCTCTGGCTTTAGCCAGACACAGATCCTATCTTTCATTTTAAACATTCCCCCCCCCGACTTTTAGAGATTATAAAAATGGTACCAACACATGTTGTCTTAGGAAACAATCCAGACACTTCTGATTCATCAAGCGATTGCCTCAAAGGGGATTAAGCCCTATTTGCCTGGTTAAAGCTGGCCATATGGTACCATGTAGCTTTGCACAGCTCAGATCACTGAACCATTGTCTCATGGGCAGGGGCAACAAGCTTAGGTCTTTAGGATTTACATGGAAAATCAGTCACTAGAAGACCTTTAGGATTTGTGTTTTCCAAATGAGTTCTTTAAATTAAAAAAAAATACACGTGTGTGTGTGTGTGTGTTTGTGTTCATGCCACATTTGAGGGAAGCCAGAGGACAACTTGCAGAAATTGGTTTTTCCTTCCATTATGTGGATCTTAAGAGTCAAACTTGCATCTTCATGCTTGAAGCAAACATCCTGACTGGATGAACCATCTTGTTGGCCCCAAAGAAATTAATTTTTTTAAAAGGACTAAGTAAAAAGACATTTGGCAGAAGTGAAGGATTGACTAAGGTCAGAAAGTTAGATTCCTTTCTCTCTCTCTCTCTCTCTCTCTCTCTCTCTCTCTCTCTCTCTCTTTCTCTCTCTCTCTCTCTCTCTCTCTTTCCCTCCCTCCCTTTCTTTCCCTTTCTTTTTTCTCTTTCTTTCTTTCTTTCTTTCTTTCTTTCTTTCTTTCTTTCTTTCTCTCTCTCTCTCTCTCCCACTGGCTTTTACTTATTTTTTAAATATTTATTTCTTTATGTACATACCAAATGCTGTCCCCATCCCCCCCCCCAATTACAAAGTCTCTTCTCTTTCCTTCTCCTCTGAAACAGTGGCACCCCCTTGGGTATTCTTCCACCCTGGCACATCAAGTCTCTGCCACTTTAGAAACATTCTCTCCCTCTCCCACTGAGGTCAGATAAGGCAGCCCTGTTGGAGAACACATATCACAGTCTATAGTTTTAAGAAAAACCTCCAGTTCACTTGTTGGGGAACTAACATAGAGACTGAGCTGGACATCTGCTACATATGTGCCAGGGGCCTTGTTCCAGTCCATGTATGTTCTATGGTGAGAGGAGACTCAGAGGGCCAGGAGAATGAATGGAAACCTGCAGTTGCCAGGGTTGGGGATGTGTGTGTGTGGAAATCTCTAGGAAGTCCCCGAGATTTGGGATGGAGGAGGCTCTCAGGAGTCAATGTAGGTGACCTTAGCCAGGATGCCGAACAGTGAGGATATGGAACCTGAAGAGGCCACCTTCTGTAACCAGGTAGGACTCCCATTGGACGGATAAGGACACCAATCCACCTACAAAACTTTCTACCCAGAACTTGTCCTATCTAAAAGAAATGCAGGAACAAAGATGGAACACAGACTGAATGGCTAACCAATAACTGACTCAATTTGAAACCCTTCCCACAGGCAAGTACCCATTGCTGACACTATTAATGATACTCTGCTATGCTTGTAGACAGGAGCCTAGCATAACTGTCCTCTGTGAAGCTCCACCCAGCAGCTGACTGAAACAGATGCAGATAATCCACAGCCAATCATTAGATGAAGGTGGGGACTTTTATGGAAGAGTTGGAGGAATGATCAA